GTCACTAAAAGCAGAATTCCACGAGGACACAGCCAGCCACCTGAGTCTCCCAGCTTCTTTGAGACACAGCCACCACATTGAAAAGAACAAAAATGAACTGAAGAGTCAGGAGAATTAAAATGTGATCTCCAGGGGAAACAACAGATTTAATAAGTATGTTTGATTAGCATTAAAAAACAATTATTAGATTCCCAACTGAACAGAATTACAGTCACACCAGAGACCTGATTCTGAGCACTACAGAAGGCTGCCATTAATTCATGTTATTTTTGCAATACAGCCATTAAAGATTGTGGATGACAAATGCCAACCCAGGAACTCAGACCCTCCTAGTTAAAAGTCTCTGATGGGACCAAGAGGCTGGGAATTCTAATGTCACATTAAAAGTTTAGCTATACTGAAAGCCAGAACAAAATCTAAAAAGCGACCACATCTGCAGTCTGTATATAACAGCATATATAACAGCAGCATAACAAAATTTTTGCTCTGTGGTAAAAGAACAAGAAGGAGCAAAGGCACCACAAAACAAAACCTCCCAATATTGCCACATACAGGTGTTGGAGAGGTGAGTTTTAACATACAAAACACACGTTACCTTAGTATAAAATGACTAACTCGCTGCATGAGAAAAAAAGCCAAAACACAGCACAAAGCAGTGACTGTGATTTGACATCACAGAGAAATATGGAAATAAAACAACCAAAAAACCCACAGAATTTAGACTTTAAATATTACGAAAAATCAACTTCAAACACTAAATTGAAGTTTCCTTTTCATATGGAAATTAGCTTCTATTTGAAAGAATATTGAGGTACCGCCCCAAAGAACATTGAGGTACTGCCCCAAATATAATAGATTTATTTAATTAAAAGCATTCAAACAATACAAACTCATTGCTAATGCTGGATGATTTCAGAGCAACTCAGACAAGCCCATATCACCAACGATAAAACACCTTAGGACATCTGCAGATGCACAGAGTATCTTCTTGGACACGGCTAAGCAATTGGTGTACGCAGAGTTGAGAAGCCCACTGGGAGGRAAGGGTTAGAAAGGCCTCCCCTCCTTTTCCAATCAGTGAAAGAGAACTAGGCAGCACAAAAATGCTAAGCTCCACAAGCTGTTATATTCTATTTACTGTATTTTTCAAGTCTTTAGAACCAATTGTTTACTCCATTAAAAATATTAACACCAGTAACACTACCTTTCCTCAAGGTAAATATGACTCACTGCTAAACTATCAGGATAAGGAAAACAATATTATAACTCATTTAACACTTCTAAATTAAGAATGTCTCAAAAATACTGGGATAGTAAAACAGTTTTCTGCATCTTTATTTGAACACTAAGTGCACAGAAAAAGACAAACACCCTCACCATTTTCTAACAGGTCAAACAGTAAAGCTTCAGAATCGAAAGAGATCCAGGTTAGCTACATAATTAGCAAAACACGTATGTTACTTGACAACTAGCAAAAGACTATTTAAATGCAGTTGTCAGTTATTTGCAAAAATAAGCTTTCTTTTCAAAAAAATAGATACAAAACAAGATTAAAATTAATTATTAAAATAGCTTTTCTCTGCTGGTTTTAGTTAAAATTAAAAGTCTGGTTTAAATAAAGCTACCTTGTTTTACAATCTGAGTTCTAATCACAGATAACTCATTTTTTTCAGCATATACCTCCTACACACATCAGTGGACAGACAAAAAGGAGCATCTTAAGAAAAAAGGCTGGTTTGACTAGATCTATCTGTATTGATGAGTTCAACCTTCATGCACATCCACAGGGAACCAAGCCTATTTAATAAAAACCATGAAGAACATTTTATTTGCCAGCAGAAACACTTAAGTGTATTTCTCCCATGTTTCATTCATTTTTGTTGCTCATTTTCTGTTTTGTTCTCTGTTTAGCTTAGTTACATCATTCTATTTTTGTTTTGTATGCACAAAACAAATATTTGAACAAAAACGTATTTGCTTTTTTTTTTTTTTTTTTAATTTACTGATGAAGATTTCAGGCAGAAAAATCAAGGAAGCCCATCAGTCTAAGCAGTTATGAGTCACTACCCAGCTGAAACAGAATTACCACCTTATAACAGAACACAATAGAATTATTTTGCAGAGTAGACAGAAAGGGTGCAAATTGAGCCTGGAAACACCCCACTGCTAATAGGAACACCGAAGAACAAAGATTTGTCTAATCGCCACCATAGTTTTTGACACCAGAATCTAAAACTAAGGYACTGAAAACATGTAGCAAGGTATGCAGCTACTGAAAGAAATGATATGCAAGAAGTAATATCATCAGATGTAAAGTACGCATTCACCCGAGAGGTGGAGGGAGAGGGAAAGGAGAAAGGGGGGGTGGGGGGGGGGAACTTTCCAACGGTTACCAAGCAACCAAGAGCAGAAAATACTACGAAGCTTTCAAAATAGAAATGCAAACCAAAGATAAAATTAATTATTTAAAACTCAAATCCAGCTGGTTTAATCAACCACTCTTTGAAAGCATTTTTATAAAAGCTTTTCTTTAATCTCTGGCCTCTGAGTCAAACAACAAACAAAACCCACAGATTTTAAGATAGATGTTTTCCATTTACATCCTGATCTCCCATTATTCCAGAAGTAGATTTACTAGTCACTTTTGAAATCTAGAAATRTTTCATTAAACCTAAATATTTATGAAATTTTCTTTTAAAGAAGAAAAATTTCTTTTAGAAGCTACTATTAAAATATTAATCCTAAAATACAATAATCTACATTTTTAATATGATGAATTAGTATCCAATGACCAGGTACAATAAACAAATGGAGATACAAATTGCAAATTTGTGTTGCCTAAACTCCTGCTTTCAAGTAAAATAATTAAGACAGATTAAAGATAAAAAAATAAAAACTGAGTTAGCTATAATGATACAAATACTTGATTTATCACTTTCAGCAACAACYGCACTGTTTTTCCTCAACTCCAAAACTTTCTCCTCCTACTTTAGGACATGACCAATACAACATATTTGTCACCTTAGTGATTCATATCATCCTTKTATTTTCTTTCACACTTTTGTTGTAATAATTGACAACGTATTTAATCATTTCCTGTCATCGCTGGAGGAAAAAAAAAAGACAAAAAAGCGCACACACATACACACCTGTTCCATGATTCAGAATCATTCCGAATCAAACCTGGACTCACTAAGGAGATACTGAAAAATGCCTAGTCCAGGAACCTAGTAAGGTGTTCTAAGCCACACAACTAACCTGTGGTCTGGCTTCAGATGTCAAATCCAGATTTTTACTTATTCAACTATTCTAAATCACTCCTGCCTTTATTTCCAGTGCAGTTCATAGATGAGATGTTTTTATTGCTGTTGCTTGATACTTGATCAATTAAAAGACACAAAGACTTACAGAAAATCTATGCAGTTTACTTATCTAACATCCAATCGGTAGATCTCATCTCATTTTTTTTTAATATATCATTCATATTATTTTGCATTTACATAAGATCTCCCTCTAAGTTATACCACCTGGAATACAGGTATGGCCACACTTCTTTTTCCTTATTTGCCCTTATAGCAGGTTGGCACATCAAGTAGCTAGACCACAGCCGACAGAGTTACACGGGTGCAAATGCTTCCAGCAAATCCACTCTACTCACAAGTACATGCCACTGCTGCTGGAATATGCCTCAAAACCAGTTTCCAGCACTTCAGCTCAAAGTGTAGCTTCCAAATGTTTGCAACAGAGCAGTGCTGTAGCATGGGGTTTCACGTCTGGGAAAGCCACGCAAAAATTGCGGCTTTTGTCATTTTTTGGAATGGCCCATTTCACATGAGCAAATACAAAATGTAATCTAAAATAATGCATCGAATGGGAAAGTGTTCATAAACTGTCTAAAATTTGTTGTACACAGATAAAAAGCATAACTGTTTCAAAGCCTAAGAAGTAATGCTTTTCACTGTGTACGCACAACCTGACAGTATTTTTTTCCTCACATCTACCTCTCTAGAACAAAAATCACATAAAATAGTGTAGTAGAAGACCTCGAGTGTGACTGAATTATGCCCAGACAGTACGCAGTTTCATGCGGTTCTGTTTCCTCTAAAAATGACACACACCAGCATAAAGCTACTCACTTTCATCTACTTCCATCAGTAGAACCTCAGTAATTTTTTACGAGGATCAAATTTTTAGATTTCTATAGCTGCTGCCTTCAAAAATGCTCTCATCTGAACTGACTCATATCTCCCTGAGATATCTCTGCAATACCTTCCATTTTTAAAGGCAAGACAACGACACCCAAGCCACCTCCAGAAACCCAAGGATTACAAACCACCTCTCTAAAAACTATAATCACATTACTTCACCTGCAATCTTAGAGTCAAGGGGAAAAAAAGAAAATGCACAGCTTAAGTGGAAAATAAAGAATGCTTTTTTTTTTTCTCTTTTGAAGTTGCTGCCAGTTGTTTCTCAAGTCCTCACCTAAGCACAAAAAAAAAAAAAAAAAAAAAAAAAAGTTTTCAAAACGCTACGCTACAGTCTGATTGCCTGAAAATCAGATTTGAGGGGAAAAAAGGGGGGAATAAAAAAGTCTCCCTCTCCCAACGTCGGTTAACGGCCGCGGCGGCCGTTAACGGGTTAACGGACCGCGCGGCCGCGGCTCTAGCGCCGCGGCCGTTAACCGCCGCGGCCGTTAACCGCCACCGCCGTTAACCGCCACTCCTCCCCCGGGGCAGGAAAAGCCCAGCTCGACGCGGCTCGCTCCCCACTGGATCTTTCTGTACATGAGGAAGCTCCGAGCATGGCCTCTTCTTCCTCCTCCTCCTCCCACAATGCACCGAGGGCATTCACATTTGAAGCTACTTCCTCAACCGAAAGGGGGGGAAAATTAATACTAATAAATTAAAATAAATTAGGAATAGTAAAGGAGCCTCCCCTGTGCTCCCCCGGGGAACAACACCCCTACTCCCGCGGCCACCCTCGCCCCCGGCCCCACTCACAGCCGTCTATCTCCTCCTGCAGGTCCTCCTGGAGCAGCGACAGATCTGCGGGAGACACACACGCACCGTCGCCGCTGCTCCCCCACGCGTGTCCCCCTCCACGCGTGTGTCCCCCCCCCCCCAATCCCACCCACAGGGCGCCGCCCGCGCTTCCCTTCCCCCTCCCCGCCTTCCTCCACGCCGTTGGATGGGACCCCCCCCCATCAACATACACGCGCGTTACCCCCACGCCGCGCCCACGCACCCCCTTCGCATCCCAGCGGCTCCCCACGCGCGGGCGGGGACACGGGGGCGCCGCTGCGCGCGGCGCTACCTAAGCCGGAGCGGGGGGAAGAGGAAGAGGAGGGAGAGGAGGAGGGAGGAGGCGGCGTGAGGAGAAGGGGGAGGAAGGCGGGGGGGGGGTGATACCTACCCGCCATCTTGCTGGAGCCCCCACGGGGCGCCGGGCTACATGGAGGCCGCGGCGGCGCGGATCGAGGGCGGGACGGAGGGGGCGGGCGGGCCGCGGCACCGGCGGCGTCTGGCGGCGGCCGCGCAGGAGCCGGACGCGGCGGGAGCGGAGCCGAGGGGAGCGGAGCGGCGCCGAGGGGAGCGGGGCGGGAGGAGGAGGAGGAGGAGGAGGGCGGCGGGAGGAGGGGTCTGCGCCGGACACGCCGCCGCTGCCCCCGCCTCCGCCGCGGCGGCCGCGCTCGCGCAGTCACTCGCGCCCGGGGCCGCCGCCGCCGCGGAGCCGCGCGGCCGCCCCGCCGCCGCCCCCAGCCGCGCCCGCCCCGTCAAGGGGGACGGTGCCGCCCCGGCCCCTTCTCGGGGTCACCCTCCGGAGAAGGGTCCCCGTGAACCCGAGTCTCCGCTGTGGCCTCCGTGGGGTCACCGGAGGGACGGGGGCCCCCGCGAGACGTCCTGGCCACGGCAGAACTCGGGTGGTGTCACCTCGCAGAGAAGGGTCCTCACAGAGTGACCGGGTCACCAAAGTTCCCGCAAAGTTTTCGGGTTTATGGTGTCAGCCTGGAGAGAAGCGTCTCCACGAAGCACCCAAGTCACAGCAGACCCCACTTGGTGCCTCAGGGTGCCACCCTGGAGAGAAGGGGCACTGTGAGGTGTTGGGTCACAACGGGCCCCACTCCGTTCCTCATGATGTCACCATGGAGAGAAGGGTCCCCGTGAGGTGTCCGGGTGACAGAAGTCCTTGCTTTGTGCCGTATAGTGTCACTGTCAAGAGAAGGGACACTGTGAGGTGTCTGGGTCACAACAAAAGTCCTCGCTTTGTGTCATAATGGTGTCGCCATGGAGGGAAGGGTCCCCACAAGGCACCGGAACACAGAAGTCATTAATTTGGGCTTTGTGGTGTCAGCATGGAGAGAACGGTCCCCATGAGGTGTCCAGGTCACAAAGGTCCTCGCTCTGTGCCTTATGGTRTCACCCTGGAGAGAAAGGTCCCCATGAGACACCCAAGTCACAGAAGTCTCCACTTTGTGCCTTATTGTGTCACCTGGGAGAGAAGGGTCTCCARAAAGCAGCTGTGTCTCTGCCTGCAGCCCCCTGCCCGGTTTATTTCTGTGTGAGGATCATGTCTGCAGTCAGGCTCCTGAAGTGGCCCACCCAAGATGGGGATGTGAAATAATACAAAGCACCCTGCTCCGAAAAACTGCATTTTGACATTTCTGCAAATTTTGACAGCCAGAAACCTCTGTTTCAAAATGCTGGTATAAAATATTCCCTTAATTGGTGCTTTTTTTTTTTTTTTTTTTGGCTTTTGTGATGGAAATGTACAGTTTAAATGTGTGTGCACATACAATTTTCAATCATGCTCTGCTTTTCTTAAGCTTATCTTATAGGCACATCTTGTGTTTTTGCTATTAATCACACTTATTTTGATAACTTTATTCACCATAACGTGGAAGATCATAAAAACTGGATAAAACAAATGCTCTATTTAGTTGATAGCTATAGCACTGTGTAAAGAAAAGGATCATTACTCGAACTCGTGTTAACTGGGAGTCTTATTTGAGTGTTCCACCATTTTGTTTTTTAGTCTCTGTAGTAATCTTTGATATTGTCAATATACCRAATAGCAAAACAAGTATTTCTTGCCCATTTTATTCCAAAGAAATGCAATTTTACTAGCTTGATTTTTCACTCAACAGTATTGACAGCATGTCTTTTAAGAAGGTTTTTTATACCGAACCATTTTCTTAATTTTATTTTGCAAATCACTTAAGGACTTAATCCTTATAGTAATTTTTTTTTTTTTGCAAAAGCATCTGAAAATGTATAATCTTAGAAATGAAAAGAAAATCATTTTCTTCCATTCCCATTAGAACAATCTGCTTTCTTGCACACCTATTCAATCCGTAGAGACCCACATGCAGATTACTCAGTATTTCTTTTTATTCAGACTTTAAAAAAATGAGTGAATCAAATAAATTACCATGACTACATTGTATGGACTGTGCTATTCTCTGCCATTGTAATTTAAGAGAAGGTTCAGCAGAAATTTGGTGTCTTTCTATATGACCGTGTCATTCCTAACTGGGGATTAGTTCTTTGTTTGGAGGTGGGAATATGTGGTATTTAAATGACACAGATAACAAAGATCAGGGTGATTTGTAAGACAAATGATAACTGTTTGGGAATTACATTTCTTTTTCCTACAAGCTATCACTGAAATAACAGGTTGTCTTCATATGATGCATCTACTCCTAGTACCACTGTTAGTAGTCACCAGGGAAGGTCTCTTCCCATCTAAATAGAAATACCAAKGCAAAAACTTTGGCTCATACAGTGACACATATATGGAGAAAAAAACACCTTTTTTGCTTCATGCCATCACACTTTTGTGTGGCCAAACCCCACTTAATGAATAAGTACCCAAATAGTCTTRCTTCTAAATTTCCTGGCCTAGGGAGACCATAAATTCTATACCTTGATCTCCCCAGACACTATTTAAGGGGGACATTTAAACTTCAGTCTAATTGTAAGATTCCCACTGATCACAAACAGGACACCCAGAAACCTTATAAATGTATGATGCACGTATGGATTCTCTCAAACTGTGTGGTAAGTTGATCTTCATGAAATGATCTGTCTAAATCATGAAAGAAAAAGATCATAAGAAGTACATTATTGGTTTTTAGATGAAGATACGACAAAGGTCACAGGAACAAATAACTTAGCATCCACCAAGATGTTCTAATCCAGTTTGTGCTGGTGTTTTAATAACCTGTTTGACTACCTTACAGGCATTGGAAAATATGAAATGGAAGGTGTAGATAAACTCAAGTTCAAACGCTATATACTACAAAGCACAGAAGCCAAGGCTATGAATGAGAAGATACAAACGGAAAACACTGGCAAGATTTTTCAGTGTGATAAAAGCCGTCTTTATTGCTTATTGACATCTTATAAAAAGTCCATAGCAATTAACAAGAGATTATAATATTTACATGAAGTACTAAATAAATCTTTTCAAAACTACAAAAATGATCAAGTTAATCAGATTTTGTATCATATCCATTTGGGTGCCTTTGCAAAAAATTATTCTGAAGTTGGATTTGTGACATTTCTTGTGTCAAAGCTGTGGCAGGCGTAAAGGCCTCAGGCCCGAGAGCCCTGCAGGCCCCAGACCTCACACAGGAAAATACCTTATTTATTAGCTGTGAAGAAGCAAGTCGCTCTCTCTGATCAGACAACAACGCCAACTTTCAGTGTCCACGTGTTCACCCGGTTGCCTTTCTCCCAGGCTACCCTTCCTGTGTGGGAAGAGATTCCCATAAATATCTGCAAAGCCATCTCGCTGTCCTCCTCCGGATTCCTCCTCGAGCTCCCTTTTCCTGTAAAGCCTACAAAGCTTTTTTTTCAGGGTTAGGCTTCTGGTGCACTGAGACAACTGCTTATTCTCTTGAGCAATACTGACTCATAGTTTTCTTGTCCTCCCCCAGGCATTCTCTGCTGCCTCTTGCTTTACAGTAGATCTGTAAGTTCTTTGCCTTATAGATCATCTTTTTGTTCTTTTTATAGTGCTTCGCCCAAACTGGCCCATGACAGAAGCTCCCAAATATTAAGATACGTACAGAAATACATGAGTACCTGTAATCCAAATGGATGCACAAGACAACATGGTGGCTGAAGCCTCTAACATGTTGAATTTGCATTTGAAAATGCAGCATATATTGGAGCATTTATGCTAAAAACAGATGTACATCATAAACCATTCCTTCCCTTCCCTATTTACTGTTGCACTTTTTTGCCTCCCAGTAATTTTTCATGTTGTTTTTTGTTTGTTTGTTTTGGCTCATTGCTTGTGGATGACTTTTGTTTATTTTTTATTTTTTGGATTGTGCACCATAGTTTTGTTTCATTTCCCCAGATAAGAGACGACCTGGTGACTTTATTATTAGTATTAGTATTTTTATTTGTCAATATTAGAATCCAGTTGTCACTGTTCCAGATGAAGGCCTTGCAGAAGGACTTCAAATATACAATATATTTAATAGTAATTTTGCTGAGTGCACATGAGTAATTCTATCTGTTCAGGACTGTGCCGAAATACAGGATTGGATGGATCTTGAGGGCTTTTTGGCATGAAAGCCATGAAGGAATTAATGTCTACATTTGCTGTCAAAGAACTTTGTTAATATAACGTTGAGTTTGCTTGTGGGTATCTCAAGTCATTGCAAGAAGTCAAGTTCAATGATAATGAAACCTCTGAAAACTAGGATGTATAGAACTGAGGAACATACTAACATGATGTTAAGGTGCTGGGAGCTTACAGTGGCTATTGGCATTAATCTGTAGGCAAACCATGACATCCATGGAATGAGACGGTAGCTGTCCTCTGTGTGGTCAAAAGAAAGCAAGGCACGTTTATCACAAGGGAGCTGACAAATCTTCTTTTTCTGTTGAAGCCATCAGTAGTAAAACTCCAGCTTCTTTGGCCATGGGCACTGCAAGAAGGTGATCTATGAGCTTTATGGTAGGCATTTCAAAGTCTACTGCTATATCTGATTTTGTAGGTGCTCAAGCTCACGGTGAAAGAGAGCAAAGGAATAACCTACCAGAAGTCGTTTCAGAGGTCCATGTCTCAGTGTCTGGGTGCTGCACACTCAAGGGAGTCGCAGACATGCGGGCAATGCTCATGCGGTACCACCCACCTGATGGCAGGTTTTCCTTTGGGAGAGCTCTGCTCCAGCTCTCAGGTGCTCTGTGCCAGCAATGATGCGTCACGCGCGTGTATTGCATGGGGAGACTGAATCACTGATCCAACGGGGCAGATTTCAGCACGGATCCATGTACCTTGGCTCCAAATTTCCTTGTTCTCAGAAGTCTGTGTCTCACTGGCATAGTCACTGACATGACAGGGCAACCAGGAACAGAAAACCCTTTCCACTCCAAAATGCCTCCTAAAGATTTTGGTTTTAAAACAGGGGGAAAGACAGAGAGAAAAACTCCATGTCTGAACTTTGGCTATTTCAAGTAATTA